AGACAGGTATATAATCGTGCAGCGAAGATTTTTTTATATAAGCAAATAAATGTCTTGTCTATTTCTAGTCATATCTTTTAATCGAATTGAATCTGGATACGTGTAATTAAAAATTAATTTACCTAACATTACCAATTCTTGTACATTGAGTTCATGTAACACCTTAGTCGATATTTTTCTTTTCTTGCATTTCGGTATTAATTCAGGTGCACCCAAGCCGCGTAATATTGTCGCTGTTTGATTAGTAAAATCACCTGGATCGCAAGAAATATTCATTTCAAATGACATTCTTAATAAAGACTTTGTAGTTTCGATACACGTGTATTAATTTTCATAATACAATACAAATTCTTGATATTTCACAGGAAAAGTACACTCTAATTTATACAGTTTTTGTGTAGCTTGCGAATCCACAAATATTTACATTATTTGTAAACACAGACACTGCTTCCAGTGTGCTTCCCCTAGTGCTTCCAGCAATTTATATGAGATTGAATTAAATCTCCAGTTATCTCTATCCTAAAGTTCCTACGCGACGTGAGATATATATACCATGAACATGAACCTATGTATATATAGTATATGCTAGTTTCGCGCCAAATTTGTTGACCAAAACACGTAGAACGTAACGTAGAAGTATTTGGTGTCAGTGTCATTTATGATTTATTTTACGAATGTTCTCTGACGAAATTTTACACAATTTTTACTTTATTTACGTATTTAAATGAAGGAACTTCAACCACGCATGACAATTCACTTAATCAAACTTGAAACTTCCACCACGTGTGATAAATCAGGCTTGAAAAACTTGTATTTTCAGAAGTATAATTATCGAAGAAAAGAAGGTTTTAATAAATTATAACAATGGACAGTGCCGAAAATGAATCAAACGTACAATGCGAGCTTAGACAATCAGGATTTGTGAAGGAATTGGAAAATCACAAGGAAGAGAGGGATCTATCCTATGAAATGAAAATTTGTTCTAATAATGAGCACACTACGACTGACAAAACTTTAGAAACTGAGGATGAGGCACTTGTTCTGAAAAGTAGTGGGTCGAATACTGAAGTTAATAATTTTGGCACTGATAACAGTGAAGGAGTGGTATGTAACAAAATAAGAGAAAAAGAGCTTGAGCAGGTAGACAAAAGACAGAACAATGATTTAGACAGTGAAACAGACACTGATATATCTAATAAGGATAAACATGAACAATCTTCCGATCGCGAGAATAAAAGACTTGAAAACATTAATGTTAGCAATAAGAAACTTAGGATTGTGAACAGCGACTCAGAAGATGAAGAAATATTTTCTAGATCAAGTAAGAAGGAACCTGTCCGCGATGAATCGGAAAGTGAAATATCAGATTCTGAACAGGAGAGTAAATCTAGAAAGCAGTCAAAGAATACAAGAATTATTAACAAATTCTTTGACAGTGATTCCAATGACAGTATTGGCAGTGACACTGAAGGAACAGCTTCGAACAAAGTTGTTTCACAGATGAAAAGTAGATTTCAATCTTTAATAGATTCAGAATCAGAAGAGGATGATCAAGAAGGAAGACAGGATGAAGAGCCTTTGAGTCCTGATATGTATAATAAGAAAACGAAGAAGCATAAAAGTGAAAGTTCAAAACCTGAAAAGAAAAAAGTAGGTGGAGTATTTACTTTTGGCTTAGTTTTATACAACATTATACTACATATTTAATATCACAGCTTTCAGTAAGAGCTTCTAAAGAGGAAGCCATGAAACAAATAAAAAGTGAGACTCAACGTCTGATAAGAGAGTCAAGGATTTCGCTTCCATATCACAGGCCAAAACAAAGGACATTGCAAGAATTTTTAAGCAGGAAAAAGGTAATGTCAGTTCTTCCAAAAGCACCTACAATGGCAGCCAAATTGAAGATGTCCTCTGCCATTGTCGAGTAAGTATTTCTCTTAGTTAAAATATCTATTAAATATTATTATATTCAAATCAAATCTTTTTCTTCTTAAGTGAAATGTTAAAAGAAAAAGAGAAAGAAGCAGAAGTGTTTTACAAGTCCTCCGATTCAGAGGAAGAAGAAGGCTGTGTTCTAAAAAAAAATAAAGAGGAGATGAATGCAACATGCATACAGGAGGCGAAAAAGGATAACGTTTCCCGAAAATTGTTTACGGAAGATGATTCAACAGGAACTGAAAGTAATGATGAGAGGGATAATACAAATGTGATGGATGTTACTTTAACCGAACCTGTAGAAATAAATAGAGAAAATATAAATGAGGAACAAGTAAGTAGAGAACGCGTGCCGAAGTTTCTTGAGGATGATACTTCGTCTAAATTAATTAGTAAGGATAATTTAATTATATTTGAAAGTGCTAAAGAAGCGGATAGTGAAAGTGCAATGGATATAACTTTAACTGAAATAGCTGAAATTGAAGATAATAAAAAAATAGTAAACGACGAAGTAGATACAAGTGACTTCGCAACAATAGAAAGTCATTCCAAGCTCGAGATAATTCCGAAAACAGTTGATTTGTTACAAAAACATGCCTCTGATAATGAAACAGCAGACGTAATTGAAACCGATAAACAGAGTTCAGAAAATTTGAACAAAGAATCGACAGCCTCGACTTCGAAAGTGAGCGAGGATTATGCAAACATGATCAAATTATCATTGGGAGTAGACACAGATGAATCCGACGATTATAAGGAATATGGATTGCCACCACCGAAGTTCGATGACTCGCCGAATATTAATCAGAATAAGACCTTGTGGAACATGAAACCTAAATTAAGAGGCAATCCAGGCACACTGATAGACTTAACGAGCGATGTCAGGCCGTCTAAGAAAGGGATAGACGATTTGATAGACCGATTTGTACATAAACATTCAAAAGCCAATGAGCGCGTTAAGGAGACTAACGTTACGACTGTACAAGTGAAAGAATCTCCTAACGGCATGTCAATAGTTAAAGAAACGCTTCCGTATCGATTGCCAAACACAGTAGAAGAAGATCCGAAGTTGAACAAGCCGGGAGCGAAGTTAGTGAAATTGAAAGAAGAATTGAAGCATAAAATGGCATTAAAGCGTGACGAAGAATGGAAGCTGAGAGAACAAGAAATGAAGGAGCAAGAAATAGAGTGGAACGAAAGCATAAACGAAGAAGATAGTTTCACTGAAGTTTATTCACCGAGTACAGAATCTCACAAAAGCGACGAAGATGAACCGATAGAGGATGACGTGCATATGAAGAAAGAAAAGAAGAAAAGGAGCGCGTTTATAGACTATGAAGCTGAAGTCAGTGAGGATGACATCGAAAACGATACCGATGACATCGAGGACGAAGATGAAGACGATGCACAAGAGGAAAAGCTCGGCTTGGAAGACGAAGATGAAGATGAGGACAGTGATACTAATGAGCAGAATAAAACGTTTAAACGTATCATAGTACCCTTAGAAGAGGATTCAAGATCTTCGATGATTGACAGTGATAAAAATGATCGTGAAGATAATCTTCCTCGAACCACGTCGCTGAACATGTTTCGTAGAAACAGCAACGAAAGCGAAAGTAATATTTCAATTTCTCAAGTTCCGAAAACAATTCAGACGCCACAAACTAAATCCAATAGCTTCAGTCTTGTCTCTCCCGCGACACAATTGACAGCGTTAAACGCGTATGTAGAAGATGGAGAGACTCCTAAAAAGGGGAAACAGATCAGCCACGGATTCGATTCCATTGCAAGGCTGATTAATACTCAAGAAGATGTCCTAGATGAAGATCTCATAGGTTTATGTTCCGGCAAATTTCCTGAGAGTAAATTCGGTCTGAACTTTACGAAAGAAACCAACGTTAGCGACTCCCAATTATTGGACATATGTTCAGGAAAGTTTACTACGCAGCCAAACAACGATATGAATTTAGTTGACAGTTTAAACGAGGCACCTCAGAATATGCAAATCTCAGAGGAAAAGTCTGGTAAGAAACGAGAAGAACAGTTAAAGGAGAAGACGCCTTGTCATAAGTTCCGAGTTTTATCTTCCGACGAAGAAGATGCAGCGGAAGAAATTAAACGATCAAAGAAGAAGAAAAAGGTGATACAATTAAATGTGTCTGAAGATGAGGAAGAAAATGGCTCCGCAGCGAGTAGCGAGGATGAAGAGGTCGAAGAAGAAATCGATGATGAGAGATTTATAGATTACGATTCGGATGAGAATGAAATAATTGTACCAAAGAAGAATATTAAAGAGTATGCAGCTAAATTTTTAGAGGAGGAGGCTGAGCTCAGTGAAAGCGACGGAGGTGAAGTTTCTGCGGACGAAGATGAACAGGAGTTAGATAAATTTGAAGTGGAAGATGGAGACGATGAAGACATCGATGAGGCACAAGTGAAAGATCAAGTAGGGAAGCTTCATATGAGGCAGCTGCTGGACGAGGACCAAAGAGAAGTGAAAATGCTCCAGGATTTATTATTCGAAGACGGAGATTTGTACAGTGAAACTGGGAGGGAAAGAAAATTCAGATGGAGAAATATAGGTATGAGACTGTACATAAAAATTCAGTGCACCATAAATTATCATTAATCTCCTATTTAACAGATAAACAGGATGATAACAATGATCTTCAACCATTGGAGGAGAAAGATGGCTTGCTGGATCTATCAGACAATGAGGAGGAAGTGAATTGGCGTAAAATGAGATACGAAAGGGAAAAGTTTTTAGCAGAAAAGAAGGTGGTGAAATAAATTTCGACGAAAGAAAATGACAAGATTTATGTTTCAATAATGACAATCAAACTTTTCTGGCAACAGGCAAGTTCAGGTACTGAGATCGAAGACACTTTAAACAGTCAAATATTTAAAGTTGGCATGAAGATTGTAAAGAAAAGGCGTATTGACGAGAACCGAAAAGAAGAAACTTTGGTAGAAACAATCGATTCTAAAGTGGAGTCAAGAATGCCTCGTACTATAGCAGAAATGATAAATGCTACAAAATTTGGTGATAAAACACACGTGATACATGTAAGTTCTTCAGAGATATTTATCGTTACAGCTTAAAAAATAAAAGTTATTAATATGAAACTGATTATTTCAGACTGCTATGAAGAAGCATTCGTTTCTTGCAAGAGGAGAAAAATCGTTAGAGCGTTTGGCCTCTTTAGCCAAACAAAGGTCTGCACCGCTACCTTCCTTAAAAAGGAAGAATTTTGTTTTTGCACATGTTGATTTGAACACAGAGAATGCTGATAACTCGTAAGCATGGAAATGTACATCGAAACGTCTAATAGATATAAGTTAATGTAAGATTTGTTATAAAACCTTATGTAATTTTATTGTACAGTTTTTTAAATTAAAGTATAAAAACCAATACAAGTTTAAGTCTGACTATATCTGTAACTGGATCCCTCAGTAGAATAATTATTAGATATAGGAATTCTTGTATCTGTCAATAATTCGTTAAAGGTTAACAATGAAAGATAAATCTGTTCCACGTACTCTTAACTGCTTCCAAAGAATTTAAGAAAAGACCATAACCAGATGATGGTAAACCAATCGGATCGTGAATCAGTCTGGCAGTAAGTATTATTGAGAATCCACAATGAACAGTTCAGGGGATCGATTCCATATGAACTGGACCTTATATAAAACGAAAATACAATTCGTCGTTTGTTAAGTGTCGAAAAATCGGTGGATAATTTTGAGGAAAGTGACGGATACTTCGAAGTATGGAGGGTACGGATGAAATGGAGGAGGTCGTGCACGATCGGAGCGACGAAACAAGTGCCTGTGTACAAGATGGCGGTGACCGGGGCATTTGCTGTCGTGAAAATCGTCAGGAAGTAGCCCGTAAACGGAAGCCGTGCGGTGTCGCAGCAAGCCGTGGATCCCCGCTCCGGAGGATGTGATCCGAGGGAGAACGAGAAGAAGGCCGAGTCCGGGCCAAACGAGCCTTTTTCAGTTTCACTGCCACGAGGGACACCGGATTATCCAACATCCTCGGGCCAGTATCGCCACCGTCTTCGTGGCCACGCCGACGATGGAGTCCAGGGAACGCTACCAGGAGCTCTGCAGACTTTGTGCATCCTACGACGCCGTCAAGATGGACATCTTCGGTCAGGAGGGCAAGAACAGACAGCTCGTTGACAAAATACAAGCCTGTCTGCCGTTTAAGGTTCACTCAGTTTTCCTCTTTTCCACGATTACGTTTCTCGTCGACAGAATGCGTCGATCTCCCGATGCCTTCTGTGCATTCGACGCTTGTCGAATATATTAACATTTCGACAGTTAACTTTCGTCTATTTATCTACACGGTTGTCAAAAGTATTTTCGCTTTTATCAATGTTTTGTTTTCGCGGAGTATACGATTGATTCGTTCGACAGTTCGGTTTACGTCTTCGTTTCTTCAAGTTTGATCAATTTTTCCATTTCATCGAACGTCTCTGTTAATAATTTTTTTATTATTCGTTGTTTAATATGAATTTTAACTTCAGCTTCTTTATTAATAGAAAACTATGTTGAATTTTTGATATTTTTTTTATTAAACGTGTCGTACTTTCGCTTTCGCCTCAATCGTGTTTTGTTTCGTATTTCTTTTTTTTTTCAATGAAATAAATACGTGACGGTGACTGTATAACTCGTGTTTCACAGGTAGTAAATATACATCGTATTATTTTACGATGTTGTATTTGGCATTAAAACACAACATATTGTGTTTACTTGATATTACATAATTTTCAACAGCATTTTCAGCTTTGAAATAATTTCTCTGTATTATATTTAATGTCTTTATCATTAAAGGAAAATTTCATGATGCCCTTTCAATGATTTTATTAATGAGAGACGTATGCCAAATAATATCTTGTAAAAATATAAATATTAAATATTCGCTAAACTACGTTCTTTTCCATATCGAGTATTTCATTTCAGATTGCTGAAGATGATCGACTACCAAAATGCCTCTGTTATCGTTGCATGTACAATTTGGAAAATTTCTACGATTTTCGAACAGCATGCGTCAATGCAGTGGCCCTCCTGGAGAGGTGTCTACCACCCTCAGAATTGGTAAAATTCAAGTTAGTTAAATCGTGTGACCGAAAATCGTTCTTATTATAAAAAACAAACTTCCTTGGTAATCATTTAGAATGGAAATGTTACAACCACCTTGGCATGTAACGATTCAGAGCTCTTTGAAAGAAGGGAGAGTATACCACTGTTGATACCAGAGGCTCCCATTGTGAATCCCAATGCTGCCTTAGGCACGCCACCCAGATTGAATTCTGATGGGGAAGCGGACCACGATGTTGAAGACATGGTTGACAACAGTGGAACAGACGAAGGTACTTGTTGAATTTGATCATGGTTTCCTTTAAAACTGGGGGAAAATTGTATTTCTGTACATTCCTCGAAGGAACGATGATGGATGACAACGACGATCATCGTTCGGAAGAATATGAGTTGGATATGGAAACGAATCCCAGCGATTTCTTGGAAATGACCTCGATAGTTGCGGAAGAGCCTGAAGAGTCAGAATTGAGGCAGCAGAAGTTTGTCAACTTAGCCGAGGTATTATATTTGCACACTGAAGTAAACGAGAAACCCAATTATTTGGATTTGATGATATCGTTTATTACAGCAGTCTCAACAACAACACGAGGTTTACGTTTGTTCCTTATGCGATAAAGCATTTAGCTCGAAGGGCCATTTATCCTTGCACGCACGTATTCACGTGGGTGCCGGCGATGTGATCGGTGAAAAAGTCCTCACAGACGATCATACGTCGTATAAAAGGCCGTATCAGTGCGATCTCTGTCACAAATCTTATTCCACCGCGAAGCATCGTTGGGGACACGTTTCCACGACTCACAGGTACAAATTCGCTTGTCCATGATCCAAGCAAAAGATGGAAATAATTCTAGAGGATGACTAATAGCGGTCGCTCGGTGAAACATTAGGTTTCTAATAGAAATGTATGATACGTAATTTAAGTCATAACGAGGGCGACTATAATAATAATCGTGATAATTATTTGTATTAGAGGACATCCGGCAGTGACCTGCGGTTATTGTTCGCGGATCTATTCGACCCGAACGAATTTAGAAGAACATATAAAATCGCGTCACGCAGGCCTTCCAGCACCTACGGAAATTCAACCGGACAATAGATGCCAGTGCAACGTATGCGGGAAGATTTGTACAGATATCGTAGAACTAAATAATCACGGTAAAATTTGTGGAGGACAGAGATTTGATACGCCAACGAAAAACGAAACAATTAGTGATAATAAAATTCTGGACAGCTCTGAAGCATCTAGCATTGCTAGCGATGATGATATCAAGGACTACAGGTAAGCTGCATTTTACTGGAATACTAAACTTCAGCGATCTAATGATAGTTGCTTTATGATATGCATTGTACATTTTTAGAAACGCGGAAGCAAAGTTAGCAAAGAATCCTCAGTTGACAATTTTAAAGCAAGCATTAACAAAAGGAGAGTCTCTTAAACGAGATTTCGAAGATAAATATATGAACTGCAAGCCAAACAAATATCTCAAAACAGGTAAATGCAACGATTATACTTGTTAAGCTAACAATGTTTCAATGTGCTTTAATCGTTTTTCCCGTTTTTCCCGTTTTACTTGATAGAACACACCGATGCTCAAAATTCCAAGAAGTGGTACTGCGAATCTTGTCCTCAAGCGTTTTCGTCGGTAGAAGACTTAAAAGAACACGAAGCTGTTCACGATGCGGACAAGCCGTTTATTTGCATCCTGTGTAGAAAGGATTTTGTGCTTAAGTCTTCCCTGAGCAGGCACATTCAAACTTTGCATGGCATCGATCCAGCTCCGATCGTAGAAAGCGACAAATGTTTGAAGAGGTTCTTACCAGGTTGGAATGAATCCATAGATTTTGATTCATACGAAGGTAAGATGGCCTTGCCGTTATCTCCGAACGCGAACATAGAGAACGAAGAAGAGCACGAGAGCGGACAAGAGAACCTTATCGAAATCGAGACCGTGTTCGTCTGCGAAGTTTGTACCCGCGATTTCAATGACCGCGCGTCCCTCTGGCTCCACATCCGCGCTACTCACAAAGAATTCGCTGCGTTCGCTTGCGGCGTTTGCCTAAAGATTTGCGCGGACAACACGCAACTTCTCAACCACGTTAGCTTGTATCACGGTGGCTCGAAATTATTGCTGTCCGAGCAAAGAAGATACAGTTGTACCATTTGCGGCCGGCAGCACGACTCTAGGAAAAAATTGATCACCCACGTGTCGATACACAACCTGGATCAAAGCTATGATCCTGCGACTTTTGTCCAGTTGAACACTAATTATTACGGGGAAAGTATGAACGGTAATGAAACCGCGGAACAAATGCTCGATTTTGAAGAAGATATGGACAAAGTGGATTGTCACATCTGTTATAAATCATTTCCTACCGAAGATCATTTAATAAGACATCAGAGGAACGCGCACAAGTCGGAGCCATTGGTACCAACGGGTGATTTAAATTCGCCGAATATGAACGGAGGAAACCGGGCTCAGTATCATCTGTTCTTTGTTTGCGAACTCTGTGGCAGTTCTCATCCGAGCAAATGGGAACGTTGGTTACACGTCAGTTCTACGCACGAAGACGAGCCGAGCATAAAATGCGACCGCGAGGATTGCGGTAAAATCTTCGCTACGAAGTCTCTCCGAAACGATCACACTCAACATCATGCGATTCAAGGCTCGTCGCCTAACACCTGCGAGATTTGCGGCAAGCTTTGGGGCAGCAGAGTCGATTACTGGAAACACGTGATGGGCGTTCACTCGGACACCGTACCATTAATCTGCGGCGTTTGTTTAAAAGTGTTCCCGAACGTATTGCAACTAAGCAATCACGTGAAGTCGAAACACTGGCCGCTGACGAACGGCGATTTTAGTTGCGACATTTGCGGCAGGCCGTATTCGAATAAATCTAAAATGTCCAGGCACAGGAAGATTCACGGATTCGATGATAATTATGATAATGGAAACGAGGACAACAGCGAGAACAAAATCGATGGAGGAACGAAGGAGCCGGAACTGCGTTGCGAGCTCTGCACGGATATGGTGTTTGCTACTTTAGAAAAATTATGCAATCACAGGCGGATGGTGCACGGTCTGTTCCCCTGCGATCTATGCAACAAGTATTATGGAAGAACCTCGCATTTATGGAAACATGTAAATAGAGTTCATAAGGGCCACGCAGACATAACTTGTCCATACTGCATGAAGACCAGTGCGTCGAAAGATCATCTAGCGGCGCACATCTCTAAGATCCATCGATACGAACACGATTCCGCAAATGGTAGCACTACGTACAAGAACGAAGAAGTCAATTTGCACTACTGTGAAAAGTGCAACAAGGGATTCCACAAACGATACCTCTTACGTAGACACATGAAAGGATGTCAAAATTATAGGAAAGATCCAAGCGCGTTATTAACGAGATGCAGAGCCTGTGAGAGAATATTCAAAGATCGTGCGAGTTTACAGAAACACATTGAAAATCATCATAGCACGTATACTTGCCATCTCTGCGAGGAAACGGTCACTTCGAAATTGGGAATCATGACGCATAATCGAATGAAACATATGAATCATCCGGATTTGACGTGTAACTTTGGTTCCTGTAAAAAGTTATTCAGGACTCAGGAAGATTTAGAATCTCACAAGAAAGATCATAGGTATCACACGACTCCAAATGTCTGTGACTACTGCGGTGACACTGTGGAGAATAAATTGAAACTGAAAATGCACGTACTGTCGCTTCATCGCAATGAGATCGGCGTTTCCTGCGGAGTGTGTTTAATTCCGATGAGAGACCCGAAAGAGCTCAAGAACCACGTAGAGAATGTACATTCCATGGTATTAACGAAACCCAATACGTGTCAAGTCTGCGGCAAACAATATGCTTCCAAGTGGAAGGCGTTCGATCACACGAAAAAGTGTCACGGGAAAGTGTTTTCGACCTGCAAGCAGTGTCTAGCCGTTTTCACAGATAAATCGTCAATCATCGAACATTATCAAGCAATACACAATATTACTCAAGATCAACTTCCCGCGTTAGAAACTAGATTCGAAATAATTGGTAGGAGGCCTCCTGCCGACATGGGCTCTCCCCCTAGAAGTGTTAAAGACGAGCCGGATGATTCTGAATATTTTGTTGACATGTTATACGAGGATCCGAACGAGGAGAAGCAGTCCCCGTCGCGCACTTTTAGTTGCGAAATGTGTCCCGAAATGCTCGTGAATGGCGATGCTCTCGCGGTACATTATCTAAAGGTACACAACACAGACCCGGTGCCGATATTCGAACGATTGCCGCCGGAAGAACTGAAAAGAGTAATGGGCAAGATAAAATTCTATTGTAAAAATTGCTTACAACAATTTTACACGAAGACGTTGTACTGGACCCACGTCGAAACTTGCAAACCAATCATACGGCTGGACGAATTGTTTCCTAATCAAATCGAGAAGTTGAGAAGAGATGGTCTCTTGAAAAATAATAATTTGATCAAGAACGAAGAAGAGCCCGCGTCGAATTTGAACATCCCCGATTTCAATCTGTTCGAGGGTATAAATCTCCAGTTATCGGGTCAGAGGCCTCTTCCCAATCTTATGCCGCTACCGCAGAGGACGAAGTCGACGATGAAATGTTCGAGGAAAGACTCCAGGAAAGTGTACGACGAATCGACGAATACGGAGTGTGCCTGTGAGGTGTGCGGAAAACAGTGGCCAGCGAAGAAGCATTTGTGGCAACACCTGATCCGTTTCCATCGCACGGAAGCTGCGGTCACTTGCGGAGTGTGTCTGAAACTTTGTAAGGACTATGATGATCTCTCGGAGCATTTGAAAGCCGCGCATGAGGCGATCCTTTCAACCGAAGGAAATAATTTCACGTGCAAAATTTGTGGCAGGTATCGTATCTGAATTTATTTGATCATCGTATCGCCGATTTCTATACAATGATATAACTTTGTATGATTTTATGTTTTTCAGATATCACAACGCGCGCAGTAAATTGTTATTGCATACGAGCATTCACATCGGCCACGCGGGTACTAGCACTTGGTGTCCGAAGTGCAGGAAGAATATCACGGACGAGAGTGTTCACGCTTGCACCGAGAAAATTGAAGAAGCGGAACAACTGCAGAATAACGAAAAGGCAGAGGGAAGTCTGATAGCTGATGATGGAATGATCGAAGAGGTGGAGGAAGGCGAGTTTGAATCCGAAGCGGAAGAGGACGAAGAAGAGAACATAGAATCCGATGCGGAGGAATCTGAAAGTGGTGGTAGCAGTACCGAGGTCGAAGAAGAGAACGAATCGGAGGGTGAATCCAGAGCGACTGGAGAGGTCACATATAATTCTGAGAGTGAAGATTCGCAAGAGGAGATAGACAATTTGGAAATCGGTCAGACTAATATGCAACACTACCTTCTAGGTCATCTTCAAGAAACTAAGAACGCTGAAGCTGAAAAACATGCAGATTTATCCGACGACGACGACGACGAGCCTCCTGTCCTTAGTCCCATGATGCCTATGCTCGCTGAGAACACGCCTGCAGGGCAGTCAGCAAGCCACCAATTTAGTCCCTCGGCTGGGAACAAAGAGGAGTTCTCTCCGAAACCTATAAACCTCTATGAAAATCATCTACCCAACAACAAATCTTCTAAATTCGAGCCTGAGGCATTCGTGAATCGCAGTGACGAAGATACTGAGGACACGAAAAACGAGTCTGATGAAAATTCCGTCGAAGACAACGAAGAAATTGAGGAGTACGAAGAGAACGAGGATGTCGAAGCTAACGAGCAAAACGAAGACGAATTGGATGAGGAGATGGAATTTGAAGAGAGCGAAGAAATCGAGGCAGATCGTGAAGATAACGAGCAAGTCGAGGCTAATCGAGAGAACGATGAATTCGAGAAAACGAAAGATGACGATAGGAACGATGAGACGGTAGAGGAATCGGAAGATGTCAACCAGAACGCGGAGATGGATGAATTAGGAGGGGTCGATGGAAATGAAGTAGAAGATTCAGATCAAGAAGAAGGTGACGATGCCGAATCGATCGATCTAGAAAGAGCAGTAATTATGATGGATGATGGAGATCAATTGGTGATACAGCAGGAAATGTTGGAGGACGACGGTAACGAGAACTCGAATGAAGAATTTGTTTATTCTACACTTAGGTACAGCACGGAAGAGGACAGTGAAGACGCTAGGAAATGAGTGCCAAATTGAGATTAAATAATTGAAGAGACTATATATATATATGTCGGAAGACAGAGTTGTTAAATATTGTTTGAGAAAGGACGAATACGTGGGAATGAGTTCAATGATGGTTAAACGCTGCTAGAGAAGTAGATATAATCTTGTTTTTTTTAAAGGTAGTTAATGTGAAATAACATTCACGAAGCGGATCGTTCATCGAATAGATCATCTGTGGTGAGTAAACTGAAATATGTATATTACATTTTACATTGTTTCGAATTTCGATTTTTACGAATTGTAAAAAAAGTAATTACATCTGGTTAACGACGTAGAAGTAATTACATTTTTTAGTTTCATCTCTAATTAACACAGCTCGTGAAATGTTCACGTATTCTAAAACAAAATGAAACATAAAATTGTCGTGAAAGATCGCTTTCTACCGGATAAGAAGTGCAGATAAATTATTGCATGATATGTACCTTTGAAGTTATTCGAATTCATACGGATGATGCGACACATTGTAAATACGTTAGATTAAGCGATGAAAAGTAGCTTTCGCAGATTTTATGATAGGGGACCGTTTTATCATTATATCCAGAGCTGAAAAGATGTATAGGAAACAGTGAGAAGGAAAGAATTTGTGTAATGATAATAATGTTGTGACCTCAGAGTTGACGAAGCGGGATATAAAATAGACGAATTCAAAGCCTCGATGCAGATGAGCGATGTTTCTTTTTTTGTTTTACAATTAAATTGACAAAGATCAACATGCGATCGTCGCAGTTGACGCTCGGTAAAAATCGCTCGTCTGTATCAGTCCTAAAGCGATTCCAAATTCACGGGGAAGATATAATAAACGAACAGTCTCTAATGCTACTAGGCATGTTATTTAAGTTTTTATCAACTCTCGATATCATTGATTGCATGGGGCAATAAATTCGACTTTGAAAGACTTTGAAATCTGGAATTCGATCGTCTCGATATTTTCCATTCAAACTTAAAAATAATAACTCCTATTCATTAAAGAAATTTTGTTTGGATAGAAAAAAATAGTACAAAGATAGCAATATATAATCTACGATAAAGTTAGACGTATAATTCGCGTTACTGAATTTGCTACAAACTTTTATCATTTCATATTTAATATTAAACGAAGCTAAGTAATGGAAACATTATCTTTTAAGTATATGGAATTTAGCACACTTTTGGCTGGCAGTATAACTAATACGTTGTACTGTTCTACGTATTTATTTTACGTGTTCCATTATTCTTATTATCGTTATTGCATCCACTATTTTTAGACGTTATATTAATATCGATTCGATTGAATTTGGAGAAGGGAATTTTTAAAAAAGACGAAAGGATGATTGAGAAAAAGCAACTCGTAGTGTATATAGTAGTCGTGTAAGTAATATTTCGTGTACAGTTAATACTATGCAAAAACACGTGTGTATGCGTGCGTGATGGGTGAGCATGATTGTGCGACAGAAAGGGAAGGCCAGCTTCTACATATGTATTAATTTTCTACCACCGTACGTTTAAGAAACTGATAATCAGTTCTATTTTCCAATAAAATGTATAGTATAATAGCTTACGCAAAAAAAGTACGCGAACAAGTATAACCTCTATTATCGAGGTATCAGCCAAAATATCGAGTACTTAGTTTTCTGTTCTTAACAAAAATTAGTAAGTACCAACGTGAATTGACTAGCTGATTTTAATATGTACAATTAAACTTGTTAATTGCAACGCACTGCACGAAAGACGTTCCGTCAGCCACCTTGGAATTCGTGTATAACGTATAATTAGCGTACGACATTTCTCTTTTCATTTTTATTGCATCGTTCTAATAAGCAGCGTCAATTCAGATAGAAACGAACCAAAACTTGTACGTCTCATTTATTATGTTCCATTAGATGACTTTCGTTCGATACTGAGTTTGAGTTTCTTATTCGTTTTCTGTTTCTTTTATTAATTAAATATTTACTTATTTATTGGAGCATTCGCTTCGTTCCGAGCGAGTTAGTGCGTAAGATACAAGAAAGTGACGTTTCGCATTTAACGTTTGTAACGACTACAATAAAAATTTGATAAACCGATCACGCGATCCATTGAACTTATTTTACTCCTAAACGAAATTGGATCGTTCGAATTTTTGAAGTATCACGAAGTTTATATATAATATTGTAGTTAATACAATTCTGTTGCATGTGAGAGAGAAAGGAATTACTATGAATCTAAGACTTGTATTGAGAACACGCCGCTTTAATATGTATTTTTATCCTAACAGTTATTTCCAATGTTCATTAAATTTAATTAATTCTTTTTAACTTTACGTCGTTGTAATTTTTGTAAGCTTGCTGAAGAGGCAACTGTGACCGATAGGTAAAGCAAGATCCAAATAAAATATTCTTTTACGAAAAAACAGTAACAATTATAATTTATTTATCATTTAGGTATCGCATAACGTTTCTTATAAACTTTCTCGTTGTACAACACCTGGCGACAGTGGGAGGATCGAGAGGAAAAAGAAACGGCGAGAAGAAAAAGAGGAAAAAAAAGAAGTAGGCGTTAAACCGACATCGACTCGAGGCTGATTGCTTTCCTAAAAACTCGTTCAAGCTTGACCCTTAAGAAACTTCCTTGCAATTAATAAGACTACTTTTCGAAAATGGAATAGTTTACAAAAATCTTTAAACAATGTCTGTTGCTATCCAGACATTTTTAAAATAAAATATAAAATATCTAAAACTTGAAATTTCTAAATGAATATTATATTAATGCAATTTCCGGACTCGCAAGATTTGTTTGGTACGTATTTTAAAAATATATATACGTATGTATGTGATGAACACTCTGTGAGTAGCGATGAACGAAACCGAAACGAGGAATCTTCTTAATGGCCTTTTCACACTACGTTTTCCGCTCCCGTATTCCGTCCGCCATCCCAGGCGGAATACGGGATAAAATAAATGAAATATAAAAATATATGTACATAATGACGATGAATAAATTTCATCCATAAGTACACTCTTCTAGGGTGGTTATTTTTATATTTTCATTAATTTTAATTGACATGTATACTATGCATGTCGAAATTCGATCTCTAATTATGGACAAAATTATTCATCGTCACTATGTGCATACATTTTTATATTTCATATTTTTTGCACATGGGAGAAACAACACTTCTTCCGCGCGGAAAAATCTGTTTCTCCCATCAGCACAAAATCGCTCTCATAGTTTCTCGCTCTCGACCTCAGCAGGAGTCTGACCCGTACTCTTGATCCTCGCTTACGCATGAAAGACCGTGCCCGCTGAGCGTCATCCAGCTTTTACACGCTATTTTCTATACCTCGCATTTTTGACTATGGTACTGGTTGCCCGTCTTTTAGCTACTGGGAACAAGAATTCCGCCCGCCGTCCTGGGCGGAAAACGCAGTGTGAAAAGACCATTAGAAAGGAAGCGGGGCTCGGCGCGGAATAAAAGAAGAAGAAGGAGGGTTTCAAGAAATCGGACGATTGCTTTATTAAGACGTCAGAAGGTACAGGCTGCGGGCCACGGGATAGGCCGGGGCCGGGGCCGGGGCCTGGTCCTGCCTGCTGCGGTCGTTATTGCCTCAACCGGGTTCTCGCTTGGGACAATTGCTTTGAGAAGATCAAAAAGAGCATTGGGAGAAACGTGGCCAGGTTCGAGAGAGAAACGCGGCCGAAAGTCCGAGAGAGATAGACAGAGAACAAAAACCGCCACGCTGCTGATTATAAGTGCTGCGCTGACCCTTCATACGCTCCGCTCGGCTCTGCTTGCTCTGCTCACGAACTCGAGATGCTGCTGAGAATTTAACAAAGATACACCGGTAACAAGATTTCTTTTTCCCCTCGAAATGTCATGATTTTCAAACTGATTTCCATCGTCGTGCTACGTGAGTTATCGCACACGTATCTCCCGTTCCATATCGTACAATCTACATATTCTCTTTATTCTACCGCGGATACGTGCCGCGTCAGAATTTTTTCATCTATTATGTACACCCCCATCGCATTTCCTGCATCACACAGGAAGCTGAACCTTTGATTATCTCGATTTGATATCAATTTGAAATTTCGCCTTTCATGATTCACGTACGTGAAAATTGCGACCTTTTTATACAAGGCATTTTGCTAGCTTATAACTTTCCTACAATCCGTATAGTAAAAATAAATCTGGCTACTCGGTTTCCTCCGTGGCTAGCTCTCCCCGCGGAATCGATTAACCGGTTCAATTTGTACTCAAACAGCTAATCTTCTCGCTGCGGTGCCCTGTCCACAGCACCGCGCACGGCATACGCCAGGTTCTCGTTTAGAGAAACGAGATTGAGTTGAGAGTCGCAGCAGCCTGGTGAACTGGCGGTCCGATGGTAGGGAATAGAAGTACGTACATAGGAAGGAGTAAGGCGAGCGACCTGAAAGGGAGCCAAGATGCATGGAAGGAAGGTCGGCATAGGCAGGAAAAGAAGGGGAAACGTAAGAAAGAACGGAACGCATCTAAATGCCGGACTGTTGGACGTCGCTTCACGAAGGGTACCGCAGGAGGCGGGATGAGGAGGGTAGTGTTGGAACCAGGCTGGTGTCTCAATCAGCCAAGCAGGTTGGGGCACCTTGGACCCCTGTGGGTGGAGGTGGAGAATAGGAGCTAGCGATGGCTCGGAAACCGTAGCGAGATCCAAACAAAAACTGAGTTAGCTGTTAGCACCTCAACATTAAAAATAATGCGATTCTTCAAATCCCTTAGATGCTCCTCGTGAAAGAAAAAGAAAACGAATGTTGCGAAGGCTTCCTAAAATAAATGGACGAGAGGAAACGTAAATTAGTCATGACGAGCTATAATTCTGGAGAGTTTGGTGAAGAGAAATCTCCAGCTTATCCCTCATCGTTCTCAGTTACTTGCAAAATATTTCCTCGACTGGGATGGGACCGATTCAATCGTGATTCGGGTCTATCAGTAGTCCTCTCGGTCCCGGGCCAGTGCAATCGCCGGTGAGGAAAAAGCGGGAGGTAGGGAAAATCGGCGCGCGCAACTTCTTGACACAGCGGGGTAGCGGCCGTCACAACTCACAACTCAATCTACAGTGTCTCGGTGACCGTGCGCTTGCGAGTTCCGAGATACGAGTAAGTTTCTCTTTTACTCTCCATCCCGCATAGTGTTGTTGTTTGAATTCCTGACACGGACTCGCGGTCCTCGTTGAAGAAAGAGGAAGAAGAGAAGAATTAGCCTTGCTCACACGCAGACACCGGGACCCCACGTTGTTTCATCTTCTCGCCTTAGAACAATGTGATTGTTCGCAAGGTTTGTAATTAATTATACAATTAGAACATGTTTAAGACAAATCTCTTCATGCACATCTGTACACTTAGTTAAGGGCATTCCTTTCATTCATTCAATAAGCCTCATGTCTTGCTGGTGTTTATATCAGATCACTAAAAAATGAAACGCGTTAGACTTGTTCATTTTAATATGCATATTTTCGATCTGGCCAATAAAATTGTTGATTTAGCTCACATTCTACGTAAATAACTGTGAGAAATTAATGGGGCAATTAAGATCTGAAATTATGTACTCGTATATAGTATTTCACGGAATATCGATAAAACGCGTTAGACGAAAGGAATTAAAGGAAATCGTTTACAGGAAGGGCACTTTACACATCTCGTATGTGTAGAAGACATTCATGTGGTATCTGAATTTAATCGTTCATTCGAAGTAACTATATATCAATTATGAATAAGAGGAAACGTAAAAAGATTGCAATTTCTTATAATTAACAAACGTTACGTTGAATTGCGATTTTTTACGCATAGACAAATTTCTGTAAATGTCGTGATGTGACGAGAAATGAAATAGGGGATGAAGAATCATAGTTTTTAGAAACACATGGTTTCTATATATCACTGCAGATTGAATTCTAAGCACAATTTAAACAAAACCGGATGAAATTGTATTTTAAATACTTGTGAATAATCTTCTTAATATCGCGCGAGTATCAAAAACCGGGACCACTTATCGGCACCCTTTCTACCTTATAAGCGATGCAATTATTTACATCTAACACGTCCTCTTCAGTTACAAAAGTGGCGCTGAACACAGGTAGCGCGTTTCCAAACATTAATCAGCGGCGGCTCGTCCCATCTCACGCTCAGTGAATATTTGCGTTCCTTAATCGGTGTTTGTTTAGGTATTATACCCTCGCGGCAAACAGCCCCTTCTCTGATGTCACTGTGTACACAGACACTTGACTGGGAAGGGTCTTAATTGAACGAGATCACTCCGAATCGTACGCATCGATTGAACACATTCTCAACCGCAGCCTCAAATTAACATGCACCCTACAAACATAAACGTAACTGTTCCTACTGTTGCCGCGTGGACGTGTGCGTGTCCCGCTCTAACTTTCTCTCGTTACTCGCCTCGTATACGCGGTCCCTGTCTCTCGATACGAGATTTAAATTTCGAGCGTGTTAAAACCAGAGAAGTTGACGACCACTGAGGGTCTACACAGGGCTGGCCATCTGTCCCTCGTTGCCACGTCTGCGACGTCTTGGTGGTCCATTTTGGGGCTGGTGCGCGCAACAGCATCGGCACTAGCGCTGGCAATGAAGCGCTCTCAGGTAGAATATGCCCTCTCCTTCTAACCAACAATAAGCGCGCGAGCGCGCACGTGCTCTCTTTCACCCCTTTTCGTTGCCCGTTCCTTCTCTTCCATTCCCTTCCATTTTCTTCCTTTACTCTGCGCTCTCTGCTTTTTTTACTGGTATCAGTCCAAGTCCCGAGTAGAGCAGGGCCAGAGTATAGAGCAGCCGAGGCGACCGTTCAACCGCACGTTGTTCCGCCTTAGAAATCCTAACAACCGATGGCCCGTGCCTTGCCTTTCTCCTTCGCACCGATGAACGTTACATTTAGAATTGGATCGCTCCCGGAATGCAAAAGTTTATTAACCCGACAGCTAGGCATGACCTTCCTAGAAGAAATGTTACAAAGAATAAAGTTATTTATTTTACAAAATCATCGATGACCATCTTTCTGCAATTTAATTGAAATACGATCAATCTTAAAGTCTCTGTCAACACTTTCATCAGTCACTTAATGTGTGCACTGCAAGTTAATATAAACTGTAGATAGACAAGTTCTAAGTAACGAGGTTTACCAGCGTACGCGGTTGACAAACCAGGGTGGCAAAGGCTTGCTATTAACGCGAATGACAAACAGGGATCCGATTTATTTTAAGAATACACATGGAATGTCCCTTCGCGCTACGCATCCGTTATAAGAATCCGCAAGCACTTCGCAGCACCAAAGCTAATTCGTAAATTCACTTATTAGATCATTCAAATCCATGAAAATCCGAAGATGTATATTAATATTCACGACAGATCACTGACATCTATTTATAACCGGACTTATAATTGTATTACTTTAAATTCATGAAGCGCACAGTACTGTTACTTAATAGATTCTACTTGCATCGAATTCCTAATTTCGTTTTAAATAGAATAAATCGAGTTGAATACTTGAAACGATGGCTAGATGGGAACGAAAATACAGAAGAGCCTTTCGCATTCGAGATTACAAATGCGGAGGTAAGGATCTGGCTGCGAATAGAATAAGGCGATCACTTTTTAATTTATCAAGACGAAAAGTTAAAAACGTTTTACCATACACGCGCAACAGGTGGTGTCGCGTCTTTGTTTCCTGCTTACTGCTCTTACTTAGAACTGTTTACATCGCGTAGGATAGAATAACAAACAAACAATATGATGTTATGGCAGGATGCGAAACATCACTCATCTGTAATGTCCGATACGGCTATCATATTACTGATTGTGAGAAAGTAGAACTCGCAATCAGTGGCATGTGAACGAAAACGATAGTCGTACGATTAAACATGAAACAACTTACAAATTTACTGGAACTCATAGATACTTGCTGTTAAGGATGTATTGGCTATACAGTCAATCCCAAAAGTTTATGTACCTTAGAAAAACGCATTTCCTATAATTAAAAAGAAATCAGACGCCGGAAGAATAATGCTAATAATAAATAGCTACGTGCTAAAAAGTATAGAAGGAAATATCCAATTAAGTATTGACGCTGACGTCAAATTTTTTTTTCAAAATTGCGAAAACTGCTTCAAATAAAAGTTGTTTTCCTTCTAACTTCGATATTTAACGAGTTACGTATGATTATTTGGCATTTTATTGATGTTGACAAAATCCGACCATCCCAGCGTCGAAACGGCGAACTTTTGGCAAAAAATTTCATTTTCCCTTAATTACTCCTAAACCGTTGAATCTACGGGAAAATTGTATACAACCTTTCTTGTAGAGGATGACGAGATCTACAATTTTTGTATAAAAGTTTGTCACTAGCATTAATAGTTTACGAGTTATTGACGAAAAACAGTTTTTTGCAAATTACTCGTTAACTATTGACGCTAGTAAGAAACTTTTATACAGAAATTGTAGGTCTCGTCCTCTACAAGAAAGGTCGTATGCAATTTTAACGTAGATCCAACGGTATGGAAGTTATTGGCAAAAAACGAAAATTTCGAAGAATTTGAAGGGGTACCCCTTGGAAAAATCTCGGAAAAAACGAAAATTTTTTGTTGTTTATTATTAGCAATATTCTTCCGACGTCTGATTTCTTTTTAAAAAATGCATTTCTAAAGTGCATAAACTTTTGGGATTGACTGTATAGCCAATACATCCTTAAAAACGATGCATGCATATAAATGGTGTATTGTTTTTTTAATGTTTTAGAAAGATGTCACGTTTGTTCGATCAAACGAGCATACTCCTGGTGGGTATGATCCTGTTCAGTTCAATAATGTGGAACACGGCGAAAAGCACGATAATGAGGTGCGAGGAAGCAAAACTGAAATGCGCGTATAGAACAGGCTGCGGCGCTGCCCTGCAACACTATCTCACCGGCTGCGCGCCCGTTCTCCAAAGCAACGATTGTTCCGAGACCTGCCAACACGCCCTTATAGCTCTCACGAGCACCGACGAGGGCAAAGAACTTATAACAGTACATATCGCTTTCCTCATCGCGTTACCAGAAACTCTCAACTAAAACACGTCCTTCCCTAACATCCTGTGAATCAAATAAACCATCCGAATCATTGACAGTCATAATTATCTCGACGAAATTTTGCATTAGTTTTAATTTGTTACTCAGTGCGAATGCGAGGACGACTTGTGTTTGCAATCGAAACAGAGGGTGGAGATATGCAGATCCTCCGTAACGATGGCGATGAACAGGACGAGGGTCTCTTGTCGGATAGCCACTTGGATTTGCAACGCGGATGCTCTGTGCCAAACAGCGCTTACTTATTATAATAAGTATTGCAAAAGCATGTTTCAAGGCCGAAAATGCACCAGGCGGTAAATAATTTCATTCATCTGTATGCAATTGGCGGACGAGGTGCAAATGGTTTATTGAGAAGTGCGAATTGATTAGCTGTAGAAACTCGATAAATATCTTGACGAGGCAAGAGAAGGCGGCGAAATTGAACACATGCCTGTGCGACGGTTTCGAGGAATACGATTGCAAAGGGATTCATCGGAATATGAACTTCCTCTGTTTTGGTAAGATACATCACGGTTACCGCAACGTTAACGTGGAGGACGAGAGGCGAAACGAATTATCAACACCGAACATGAGCCTCAGAGGGAACGCTGTCCAAATATTGGTCGACACGAGATTGTTTCTACTCTCTTTATTGATGTATCTGGTACTTAAAGGGAAACAAGGTAAGAATGTTTTTTATACGTTATCACTAAACAATATAATTTGTATGCAAGTCTTTATCAAGGATGTTACTGCTGTTTCAGACTGACTAATTCGAAGCAAACCCAGGAAGACCTCCAAAAAAGTAACAGTATTCCATGAAACCAATGACCAAAGATCTCTTATCAATTCCTCTTTTAATCACCATTATTTGAACAATTCTACGCTGGTACTAATGGATTACTTATCTCCACTGTAAACGATTTTGTGGCTTTAACGAACGGATAATCTGGGAAATTTTCGTTTACGACGATTCGTAAATTTGTACAGACCCAAAAGAACAAGAGGAGGGAAGAGCTTTGTATAGTGAAAATATTGTATATCGATTGTATGATAGTAAACGTAACTGAATAATCCGTAACATTTAGTTTAGAAATGATTTTTATTTATGGAAGGTATGATCCATGTAAATATCTGCATACCGAATAATGGTAATTGATTTTTTCTTTATCGTGCCCGTGTCGTCGACAACAAATTTTCCTATTTGTGCTTATTTTTCAATTCTTACTCACGCAATTTTGACTTGAATATTTTCACACTAACAATGTCGTTAATAAAACAAAATTATTGATGTTTGAAAACTTTGTACAGCTTGTATATCCTATAATTAGTTACAGATGGAAGAGTTACCGAATCACTAAATAAGAATTTCTGTAAAATGATGTACTGTGAAAATTTTACTGAAAATAAATTATTTGCGATTTTACTACAATACTACGGTAAATGTATATGTATATATATTCATCTAGCTTCACTGCCCTCTTTCATTCTTATAAAAAGTTACAACATTTTTACAAAATTTATTAAATTTCAAATTTCGTTCACCGAGAACACTGCAGGTTAAAAGCAAAATTGTTATTCTACCGTTGGTACTGAACGCAAGGACCTGACAATCATTTCGTAAACTAGTTTATTAATTAAACGATTACTTATCGAGGCAATAAACAGTCTAAGGAAATCCGTCATCGTCTTCTTCGGCCATTTCTTTTGCGAGCTCTAAATCCTGTTGCTCCCGTTCCCTGCGTTCCTCCGCCGACTCGAGGTCCTTCCCGTACGATTTCGGGGGATATCTCATAGCTTTCACGCTCTGATTATGCAAATCCAAGCAGAACGTTATCCTCTGATGAAACGCGAGCAACGGTTCCTTGGTGCAATAAATATCCGTCGTCTCTTTACTCCGCATGTAACCGTTCTCCGGTTCCAAAGTGGCTTCTATAACACCATCTCTGATCGCTTTGGCGACGATGAATTCCGCGTCGACGCTGGAATCCAGACCCAGCTTCTTCGCGATGTCCGCGGGAGAAATTCTCGAATAAGACAGTCCAATCGATCTGATCGCAGTTTTAATCACGTTGTGCCTCAATCTGAGGATCAAAGTGAACGTGTAATCGGCTCGAAACTGCGGGCCAAAGTTCTCCAATACCTCGCCGAAACGTTGGAGGTTCCCTAGTCGCACGGCTTGCGTCAGCTGGAAGTACGGTGCCAGCGCGCGACGCATCGCGGCTTGCCTGAACGTTTGACGTTCCGGGATATCTCCTAACAGGAGCTCAACCGTCACGGCCAGCTTCTGAACCGTCTGACGGAAACCCACTGCAGTGCTTTGCGGAGCTTTCCTGAGAGCCTGCAACCAAGAGAATTAATAATGAAAAGAAATACATTTTATATGGTCCAAAATCTCAGTATGTGCATCACTCACCTGTACCAAGTACTTGTGTGCGGCAGAGTATTCCAATCTAGCTGCCTTGATGCGTCCCAAGTAATACAAAAATCTAGCCCATTCGTTGTTGCTAGCCGATTCCGGGAAAGTTGACTTCAATACAAGTTTGTCCGCCTGATCGTAGAGATTGTAATGCAGGTAATTCCGTAACAGGCAGTTTATCAAAACCGCCTGCCCTTCGAAATCATTTCTGAGCGTCGCCGTTCTCAATCTCAAATGCAAGAGTCCACGAATCTTGTCCAGTCTGTCGACTAGCTCGTAGGCTCTCGAATAGTAGAAATAGCACTTGGCAGCGATCACATCGATCGTACGTCGGTTTATAGCGATTATCTTCTGTAACAATGCCTCGGCACACTTAACAGCTTCTTCGTATTTCGTGGCATCGATTAAGCGCACGAGAACCAGCAAGTGGACATAGGCGTCGATCTCAGGGAGAGAGCCCATGGTAGAGATTTTCAGTCTCTGCGTTTCATCAGATTCCGCGGTTTCCTCCAACCATATCAATAATGCTTCACGTTCTGCACACGGTTTCGTGTACAAACTAAGGATCACTCCACGCAGGACATCGGAGTTTAATCTGCGACGCGTGTTTGGTAGAGTGCGGAGAGCTCTCAAGATGAAACGTGGCTCTTTGTTCTGTACGGCTTTCTCTATTTGACGACTATGTTCACGAATGTCCTGAATAGCTTGAAGGTCTGCGTCCTTTTTGTCTGAAACGTCTCCAGAACCGGTCCCGTTTTGACCGTCAGGAATCACTTCGACGTCCATATCGGTTGTTTCTGGATTTCTAGCCGCGGGGACACCCATCGTGAATCCTTCAAGGAAACTAGGTTTCTACAAATAGAATGGATCACTTTTGTAATCGTAATGTTACGACACGTTAACTGAATACGGACGACGTTAGGAAAGGAATAATATCGGGAATGATGTTAATTCTTACTAGACTTGTTAATTTGGAGATGTATGTACCCATAATATCTAAGCCATTACATCGGACACTCTAATAAAATAACTTATAAGTTATCTGACATTTATTAAAAATGTTACCAAGATAAAAGTAGGGAACCGAGGAAGGTTAATAATAATTAGAATTGAATCCTGCAATAAATGAATCTGATAACCAATCTTAAGCTTGTTTCGTCGAGCTCTTTTACTGTCAGATTAGTACGGCATTCGTCTTTGTGCTTCTTTAGATACGATACAGAATTTACGTTCTACGAGAAATGTTGTGATAGCAGAAATTGTAACGATGATGTTTTACATTTACCTTTGTTTTAAACTTTTGTAGGGAAACTGTAAATTCTCGCAAGTACAAATTCTACGTTTTCATCGCACCGATTCACAGTGGTGTAGTATATGACTAAGTAAAAGTTCACTTGATGGATCACGACACTAGCTAGGGTTCCCAATTAAAATTATTTCAGCTGCTGACACAATTTACAAGCGTTAAACTACACATTTACAGTTAGTATTAACTGACGATAATTGAAAAAATTCAAACACTCCTATTTATTCAGTTATTACCTGTCCGCTACAATTCTGGCACTAGATGTCGAGATGGTTATCTGCCTACTTCTATATGTACACGAATGACACGAAGAAGATTAGTGAGTAGGCATGAGATAACCTCGGCTTGAAATAATACAATATTTTTTGTTATAATGGTGTAAATACATGCTCCAAAGCGGAATCAATTCTCTGATTTGTTATTTACCGTGTTACATACGTCAAAATGAATTTAAGTAAGACCGAGAAACTCCTGGCTGCCAAGAAGAAGGTACGATGTTTTTTGACAGTTACGTGGACAATCTTCTGATACCGAATATCTCACTGAATAATTAATATTAAACAGTAATACAGCATAAACTGTGATTGTTAACGTGTACTTTGTAAAATTGTTTTCTCAGCTCAGAGAGTTTCAACTGAGTAAAATGCAAAACAATCAGGATGTTCCTACCAAGCAGAAACATTCCATGGATCTGTCATCTCCACAGGTGATTTAATTATTTGTACGAATTTATAATATTTTCTGGTCTTAATAATGAATTAATTTATAGTGCCAAGATGCAAAAACTAGTAAATCGAATTTAGAAATTATGAATAATATTGTAACGATAGAAAACAGTACGAATGCATCACAAAATAATGTACATACGACACATCAGGATTTTCAACAGAGTGAGACAGTATCTATGGCCCCAGTATCAATTATAGAAAATACAAATCATGAGGAGTCACAAAATTCTATAGAGGATACAGTGCAAGATGTGCAAAGGATTAATTCGAGTCTAGAAACAGAGAAAAAGCAAGTGGATTTGGCTGACTTTCCAAAAGTACAGAAAGATCACCTGTTAGACATGGCTTCTGCAGTAGCAGATGTTCTAACGAATGAATCGGATAACGTGGAGACATCCTTGGATTCTGATTTAGTATGCCGTAATCAATTCCTAACTTCCTATTTGGAAGAACAGAAAAAAACTATTAACGAACTGCACATAGAACTCAGTAGCGCAGTAAGTGTATATAACATGTACGTTTGAAAATATCAATCATGCTTCGGCTAATGACTTTTAACAATTCAATTAGCGTAGTAGAATTTTGGACCTAGAAACCAAATTGAAAGGCAGAGAAGCAGAATACGAAGCTCAGTTGGCGCGCGAAGTGAATCCTTTGAAAGAACAGCTTCACCTTCACACGCAGACAACTGGAATCCTGATCGCGGAAAAAGCTGAACTCACTGCCGCTCTTAATCAAGCTCAACAAGCTATTAGGCAAAATTCTGGTTCGTTCTGTTTCACAAATCGTCAGATTCGAGGAATAATGGAAGATATTTGAGGTAAAATGTGTTTTTTAGAAGGAGCCGAAGAAATGATGGGGAAATTAAAGAATTCACAGATGTACGTGGCCGAATTAGAAAAGGAAGTTTCCAATGTAAAGAACTACAATGAGGAGCTGAAAAAGAATTTCCATCTGCTGCAAAGCGATTACGATACCCTCGACAAAAAGTATTTCGAGTTGAAGAAAGAAAGGGAAGATTTGCATTTGGAGGTGTCGGAACTGAAGCAAAAATTGAATCTAAAGAAAACCGAGTTCATCGCCGTCCAACAAGAGCTTCAAGAGAAGACGGCGCTACTTTCGTTGAGCGAACTTAGAATACAACAGGTAATACTAAGTAATAATACTTGATTAATATCATGTAATAGCTGGAAACTTTAGATGAGAGGTGCCACGCCGACGGAAGAGGAGAAGCACGCGTCGATTCTCACGGAGCAGGAATTGGCGCAAACGAAGGAATCTCTGAAAGCTGTTACTGCCGAAAGGGATGAAGCCAGCAGACAGTATCAAAATTATGTTAAACAATTGGATGCCCAGCAGACGAAATTGTTAGAAGAGGTACACGCTTACGTTTACATAGTCGACCTTTTGTCAAATTGTACATACATTATTCTTATGGTACGCAGATGAAAGCACAGAAAAAAACGATTCAAGATTTGCAACAGAGGGAAGGAGACTATGTGCGTGCACTGTCGGAACTTGAGCAACAGTTACAGCAGGAAAGAGAGAAGGTGGAGAACTTGTCACCTTTGCAAGATCGCAAAGAGCAGATACTCACAAAGATGGATACTCTACTGAAAAATATAGACGAATTGACCTTGGAGCAGGAAAAGCTTCACATCACTCTATCTGAAAAGGTATGGTCCACTATTGAGAGATAAAAGACATGCAGGATTTGAATTCGACTTACCCTTCGTGTATTTAGGATACACAGATCGAAATGTTAACGAAAGAATTGAACGACTTACGAGAAACGAGTAATCAGGAAGCGGAGGTAACGAAACTGGCCAGCGCCCTCGAAAGCGAACAGCTCGGGGCGTCGAGAGCGATTCACCAGAATCGACAATTGAAGGACCAGTTGACCGATATGGAGAACGCTTTCGTTTCACTAGTAAGTGTAACATTGAAAATGAATAATAAATTTGACCGACGAACTATACGAACTTCTCTAACGAAATTTTCAAGAGTAATGATAAGTTGGACTTGACTGAACAACTTCAAGCAGAACGTTCCATAGGACGTAAATTGAACGTTCAATTAAATAACACTGAAAGCGAACTGCAACAGCTGAGAGAAACGTTGCGAGAAAAAGAAGCGCTACTCGAGGAATTGGAGAAGGAGAGGCTTCAGAGCGCTCAGATAGCCGATCAGATGCAGCATTATCAAGCTCAGTCGCATCACGCCAACACTTTCCAAAGGGAACTTCAAAAAGCCTTAGTAATTACGTTTCAACCAACACGCAACGCATTATCAACCGACTTGGATTAACACATTTCCGCAATGCCCTTTCAGGTTACCATAGAAAGACTAGAGAAGGAGAAACAAGAGCTGACAGTACAATTGAGAGAAAGGAGTCGAGACAACTCCGTCACGGAAATCGATTCCCTTTCTCCGAACGCTGATGGTAATATTTTAAATTCGAAGGAAGACGCGCATGTAGAAAATTTGAATGAAGACAATATTCTGGTGTCGGAACCTGTAAAACAACTTGAGAGAAGATTTAAAGAAACGATGGAACGCGTTGCCGAACTCACGGAAGAGAAACAGAAGCTCGAACACCTCGTTTTGCAGCTTCAAAGTGAAACAGAGACGATAGGTACAAACCATATAATTGATTGACCTCTATCTTTCATAGTACAGAATACTTGGAAAATTATACTTTATTTCATACTTAGGAGAGTATATAACGTTGTACCAGAAGCAAAGAGCAATCCTACAAAATAGAGCTATCGAAAGGGATCAAGTGTTCCGACAGTTGCTCGATCAAAGGAATCAGCAGCAAGAACAGCTGCATAAATTAAAAGTACTGGTTAGCGATTTCCTTAGAAGAGAATATATACATTCCAATGGGGCGGAGCATCTAGTTGAAACAGGTATCTTACTAAATGACAATACACAATAACAGTACTACACTACACTATTTAAATACAATGGAATCCATAAGAGTTGTTCTTCAGCCCTAGATGCCAACGATCTGACGTTATCGAAAAGTAAAAAAGAAGAAATCGAACCTCCAATGGAGAATAAAAGCGTTTCGGAGCTGCTCGATGTTTTAACAGAAATCAAAGATTGTAAGGATTCGTGCATGTTCGAACCGAATTTCCATCCGTGTCCTTGGTGTTCAGGCAAATTACTCACGGTATAAATACGAAAGATGTGTCACAACACATGTCTTATATTTTTAGTATAAGATTTATTAACACGAGATTTATAATTGACAACGATTTGTAGAATACAACTGTATATATAATATAAAAATCTGTAACGACTACTATTTGTAAATGTTTAATGGTGCGGACGGGAGAAAAATTGTTCTTTTTCATGAGAGATACGCGACGGAGGCAGTCACTTTAGCCTCAAGTGTTATTCAAGACCTTGTTAAAATTATTTTACGTAACTTTGCTTTTCTATACTCTGCTTCCATACTGCTTATCTCAATGAAAGTATATAATACTTGTTTCTACTTTGAACGTATTTGCAAGAAGTACGTATGGTCCTATTTAAAACTATTTCATTTAAGTTGTTTTAAAAATGAATCTGTTACGATTGTTATACATAGTCTACTATATTAGGAGAAGTCTATTTAAAATCATGTAACGATTTTGAGGTGCTGCAAGTTTTCAGTAAACTTGTACTACTTTCTGTTTTCTACTACGAAACTATTCGACGCAACAAATGAAAAATGCATGTTCTATGAGCATTTATATTTGTAATACGAACTGGTAACAAAATATATGTATTTACAAATTCTGCTTATAATCTGAATCTTTTCGGAGACGACGCACTCTCTTCAGTCATGTCAGCCTCGGTCCGGTTCACGATAACGAAAGCAGCTTTTCCTCTACGTCTCCTTTCTGTAGAAAATAATGAAACTTCAATTATTCAAGTTTCGTGCAAGTCTGTATTACTATCGAAATCGTATCATCACCTGCCCGCAAAAGGAGACTTTTGCATTGATGCAGTATCGAAGCTTTCGCTTTAACTTCGTTTAAACCGAGCAAACGTGCAAGGTTTATGAGATCGTAAGGATTCCTGATTGTCCAAATATCACTGGCACCGCTGGATATTACTACGTTCTAAATAGAAGAATTATCAATTGAGAATATGTGCCACGGAATCATAAGATGTCTGAAACAACTAACACATACCTTGCTCTTTCCGTAAGTATAAAAAAGATGAGAATAATGAATGGCTTGTTTCCTGGATTCCGTGTTTATTAAATCCGAGTATTGAATCTCAAAATGAACTCCTCTCTCGATCGCTTGATCGTACAGTTTCTTCGTAAGCTTAAAAGTCATCGAACTCGGTCTTAACGTGATTATATCCACGTTTAATTGAGTACAGGCAAACTGCATGGCACTTTGCGTTTTTGGCGCGAACGCGTACAGGTCATACTTCTTCAAGTTCGAATTGTGATTCAGCATATGCGTCTTCGCGGCGTCGGAACAGTGGAAAGTGATCCGACTGAGGATCTTCAACTTTCCATTAAATTCTTTTTGTAAGCTCTCTATGTCGAACGGTTCAGAAACGATACCGTGCGAGGCTTCACTCTCCTCACTCTTTTTTTTCTTTTTCTTGTCCGTTCCAAATACATTTTCGTCTATGTCATTGTTTATTGCTATCGTTCGAAATTCGTATTCGTGTAATTTTGATAAAAGGGAAATCAAGTCTTTTGGATCGTTCTTTGAAACGTTTACGCATAGATCATAAAATCCTCTACTTTCTCTGATATCCATTCGACCGGAAATTATAAACAATCTGTAGGCCCGTGACTTGTGTAATAACAATTACGTATTTCTTATTAATTATTGTTTTTGTAATCCAAGACTCCTAACCTACGATTGCCGACAGTCATCATGTGAAATCAATCTATTAAGAGATATGCGAAGTTACAGATGTTTATATCTATACAAATAGTGTTCAAATATGCCTGTGATATTCAGTTTTAGGTAGATTAAAATTTGTTGAATAGCAATTATGTTCTCTGATTACTTATCACCACGATCACCACGTGTAGCGCGTGTAGCGGTTTCCTAACTAACGTAACTAACTGTACTGTAACCAGAGAGAAACTGAGAGTGCTCATGGAGCCGTTTTGGCGTCTCCCATACTAGTGCTGCACCTTGCGGCCAACTGGGGAAGATGGTCCACCTTTAGCATGTAGCAGAACCTTTGTAGGAGAAATCTACCCTGTTCGGTTCCACCGTAGCACAGACCAGAATCAGGGCCAGGTCCACCGTAGCATATACACATTATAGGCAGTACCAGGCAGTATGAAGATGGGATATAGGAATATATATATATGTCGAATGGGAATCGTTCGCTCGAGTGATAGCCGCAATAGCTTTGACGGACGAGCAAGTTCGCTGAAATACAGATGGACCGTTCATTTTGAAAGTCGTGCAAATCCATTTTCCCATATATGTTAATTATGTCAAGTCGGGAGATGTTTCTACTAATTTAACAATATGTAACTTGATTATATAAAAATACAAATTTTACTCGCAGAACCGCAGGTCAGGAAGTACACA